TGTAGAACGCACCGCGTCCCCTTCCAGATAAGCCCCAAAAAGTTCGAAAAACATGCTTTTTATGTGGAGACTTTAAGAAGGAAAAAATGGGACAGATTTGTTTCAAAACCAATCAATGGAATTTGAAGTTGTGCGCTTAAATCGTTTTTGTTGCTCTATAGCTCTGAGCATCGTAGTAGGAAACCTCTTGAAACGTCAATTCTTGGAATCCGATGGAAATCCCAAGGTTGTACTTTCTTGTGCTCGGCAAATGCTATGACCTGGGCCCGGCAAGTGAACCAAAGATTCAGAGTGAAATTTCCAGAAACCATTTAGTAGCGAATCATGATTTTTCACTGCAACCCGTTTTCACTACAAAATGGGTACGCAAAGTCATCTTGTAGTGACCGACATTGGCTTTTGATCCACCATAAAAACCACCAACCCATTTTGTAGCAAGGGGGGTTGGTTCAGATTCAAGCGTCATTTTGTAGTATAAGGCTGTGTTTGTAAACGGTTTAGTGGGCACAACTTCTCTGCAGAATGCACACAGGGATAGTCAATGCACATTTGGAGACTGACCAGTATAAAAACAGTCCATCCAAGCGCGGAAAAAGGTGCGGGGGGAAAAAAAATCGGTGGCCCGCGCACAAACAAAAAAACATGTGCAACAAACGCATTGAAATATCGGAATGCGTAGTGAGGCCAAATGTTTGTGCGAAACGAAATTTGTGTGGAAACATGGAATGCTTTGATTGCCTTCTGAAGATCTTGTTCCCTATCCATACCGGAAAATTTGGAACCCTTCATCGCATATGGCATAGGACACGCTCTGGCCATTGATGAGGCCCTTCCAACTTAATGTGAGCACCATGTTCGGTTACCACATAGTTTGGAGGTTAGGTTTCAGCAAACCATAAATCGAGTAATGTGCCAAAACTGTCGTTTAAATGCAAACCTTTGTCACACATGGCATTTCTCCAGTCCAACATTCATCACAGCAAGACAGCATTGAACAACCGGGGGCTGAGTACACACCCTTGGCGTATGCCACTTGCCCAAAATTTGATTCAATTGTTCTTCATATAGATTTTGGCGAAGGCCAAATAGAAGTTTTGACAATTTGGACAGATGAAAGGCAGAGGTGGGAAGAGTCAGGGAAGAGCAAGGCAAAAAAAACACCACCAAAAAGAAACATCAGAAAAAAAAATGCAGGCGCGCGAAAAGTTGGAAATATCGTGCAACATTGCGTTTTTCCAACGTTTTGTGGCTCCAGAAGGTCGAAAAGTAGACTCGGTAAAGTGGTGGGTGCGGAGCCAACTGGGGAGATGAGAGGTGAAAAATTGCACGCCGTTGTAGTGTGAAACGGATTTCGAAGTCAAAATGTGGAAGACACCTCATGCTCGGAGCACGTTTGGAAGTTGAAGTATGGCAAAAACGCACGCCGGTGTGGCGCACAAGGCGCTCCCAAGTAAAAATGCACAAAGCACACCATGCTCGGAACGCTTTTACGCCATTGTGGCGCGAAACAGATTTCGAAGTCAAACGTGTTAAAAACAGGCGGTTTCGGAACATTTTTTTTAAATTCAGATGTCAAAAAAGTGAACGCCGTTGCGGCGCGAAACACATTTCGAAGTCAAACGTGTTAAAACTTGGGCGGTCTCCGAGCACGTTTTAAAATTGAGATGTCGAATAAGTGCACGCCGTTGTGGTGCGAAGCGCGCATCCAATTCAAAATGTAAAAAAAAACGAACACCACATTTTGTTAAACAAACTTTTGAACGTTGGTTTTGGATACGAGCACTGGTGTCAAACAGCCCTCTGTTCGTGGATGGGCAGCGTCAGCAGCCAAAGAAAATGGTAATTTTCAATGGTTCGGTTTTTAATGGGCATGTTACAAGTTTCAGTAAAATTGCCACGGGATGCCCTTTTGCCGGTGGACGACCTGCGTGAGGAAAGGAATAGCGGCATATGCGCGGAGGAAGCGGACATGAGGTCACCTCAGTCACAAAATGGATCTGACAACAGAGGTTTGAACCCTGCCGAGACGGAAAGCAACCAGAAGATGCGTTGCAACCTCAACTGTGGCGGTGGTTTCTTCCCGGCCTCCAAGGAGTTGACGTGTCAAGATACAAACAGTAGTAAGTAGAAAGTAGTAAGTAGTAAGTAGTAAGTAGTAAGTAGTAAGTAGTAAGTAGTAAGTAGTAAGTAGTAAGTAGTAAGTAGTAAGTAGTAGTAAGTAGTAGTAAGTAGTAGTAAGTAGTAGTAAGTAGTAGTAAGTAGTAGTAAGTAGTAGTAAGTAGTAGTAAGTAGGAGGAGGAGGAGTAGGAAGGAGGAAGGAGGGGGAGGGGGAGGAGGAGGGAGAGGAGGGAGGAGGAGGAGGAGGAGGAGGGAGGAGGAGGAGGGAGGAGGAGGAGGACGAGGAGGAGGACGAGGAGGAGGACGAGGGAGGAGGAGTAGTAGTAGGAGTAGTAGTAGGAGTAGGAGTAGGAGGAATAGGAGGAATAGGAGGAGTAGGAGGGGTAGGAGGAGTAGGAGGAGTAGGAGGAGTAGGAGGAGTAGGAGGAGTAGGAGTAGTAGCAGTAGCAGTAGCAGTAGCAGCAGCAGTAGCAGCAGCAGCAGCAGTAGTAGTAGTAGGAGTAGGAGTAGGAGTTGGAGCAGGGGTAGGAGTACGAGTGGGAGTAGGAGTAGTAGGAGTAGGAGTAGGAGTAGGA